AAAAAAAAAAAAAAAAACAGGTCAAAACACCAAAGCATGCATATTTGGCATATCAGTGACCCACCAATATGATATGTATCAGCCAATACATGCCGATACATGACAAAATTTTGAACCATGGTCTTGACCCATGTCCCACTGACCCACCTGGTAAAACAGACCCAGAATCCTGGCCAGGTGGCAGTTCAATCGGTCTGACCCATCTCTTGTCTAAGTCATAATAAATGCCAATTCTCAAAAGCCATTGGCTGCTCAGTTATGTGGAAGAGACCTTTCTCTGTAGTCCTTCCTCCCTAATTCTTGCGACCTAATCAAGTCATGTATCCCTTCCGTCCACAGCCAACCCACTATACACCATATGGATGCCCAGGACCAGCTCTTATATGGTTGGGTGTTACCTTCTCTCACTAAGCCCATGTTGACACAAACCATTGGCTGTTCACCTCTCAAAATGTATGGTCCACACTCTGTCAATGACTAGTGCACATCTGTAAAAGACAGATTCTGCAGCAGGATAACCAATGAACTTGATCTTATTTATCATGCTGAATCCAAGACCATGACCACCTTCATCACCACTCAATCCAATACCATCTTCAAAAACCTGTAGAGCATGCTCTTAAATCACAAGATTCAGTTGAAGCATTCCAAATTAACACTTGAGCTTGCCTTGGCTTCAACCAACATGGCAACCAGAGGCAGATTTAATTGAGATCATCCCAACAAATAACAAATATAACCCATGTTCAACTCCAACAGATTTCATCCATGGATTTTAATGCCATTCAAACTCATCCATTCAACTAAAGAGACATCACTAGTGATCCAAATCTACCAAAAAGAGGCAGCCTTCATTAGATCAAATGGCCTTGTAGCTAGATACCATACAGAGCTGAGACAACAAAACCATCAGGATGAAATACTCCAAATAGATAGCCCCAGTTTTTTTATTAGAAAAGGTGACATGTGTATGCAGTATTGCATTACAATCAAAGCCTCAACCTTAGAGCACATATAATCAGGCCTAAACCTCACCTGAATCTGATCATCTTCCCCCAAATACTCTCTGGCAGTCCCCTCGTTGTGATCAGAAATATTTGAAATATGAACCCATACAGACCCTTTTCTTTTATCAGTCATACAGACCCTTTTGCACTACTGGGACAACCAAAGTCAGCATATTCTTCATTGTCATCCCAAGTACAACCATAGTAAAATTCAGATAAAGATCAAGCATAGCACTTCTAACTAAATTCCGTATCATAGACTACTCACTTTAGTTTGGCCATTAAGCTTTCCTTTTTTTTTTTTTGAAAACAAGAAGATTGAATTGATAAAACAAAAGATTTCAGGAATATACAACTAACTTCCATGAACATCAGGGTTCTATGTCAAAAGAAAAGCACCCAACAAAGATTTAGTAAGGTCAATAACAAACTTCTCAATTAACATCCAGGTCAAACTCTCAGTTTAAGAGAATCTTTTGTCAAGTTGCAGTGGATCCTGTTGATCCCACATCCAAAGGCAAAAGAATGTAGCATGCTTGTATAGTTTCAAAAGTGTGTGAAACATAAAAGAACTTTGTTTGAAGTCATACCTGGGAAACTCCCCTACATGCATTATAAAACAAGAAAACTTGCTGCTTGTCACCCTCATTTGCAGATGCAAACTTATAGCGTGTTTCTGTAAAGAGCACACAAAACCAAGGTTGAGGAATAACAAAAGGTAACAATTCAAAGTGAATACAAGGTATAACAAACCTCTAATGCACCCCTCCACCCAAATATGAAAATAAGCAAAGCCCTCAGCAATATTGGTATCAGTAGAGATCACTAATTGCAGATTTAGTCGAGTTTCTTGTGAAGGAAAGAGGGGGAAGATGAAGATTTCAGCAGTAGAGAAGAAAGGAGAAGAAGAAGAGAGTAGGAAGTCAACCAGGATTATGAAATTAACCCTAGCCGCCCCCCTCTCATTATATTTATA